AGACATAAAGGAAAATATCATAAGTAAATTAGAACATAGAACACATTACCTATCACATTTATGGATAGGAGAAGAATTTACAAATAAGCAAAAGACAGAGAGCATTGTGGTATGTAAGATGGATAATTTTGATTACATTAAATTAAAAAGGGTTTGTTCAAATAAAACCAATGTAGCCAAGATTAGAGAGAAAGCAAAAAAAATAAAAATGGGGGGAAAGTTTTGTAGATATTTCTCAGGTAAAAGCTTCATATCTTAAATATATAGAGAACTTTGTCAAATTTATAAGAATATGAGTCATTCCCCAACTGATAAATGGTCAAGGGATATGAACAGGAAGTTTTTGGAAGAAGAAATCAAAACTACATATAGTCATGAAAATGCTGTTATTATTGATTAGAAAAATGCAAATTAAAACAAGTTTGAGATACCATCTCACACCTATCAGAATGGCTAAAATGATAGAAGGGGAAAATGACAAATTTTGGAGGGGATGGGGAAAAAATTGAGATACTGATACATTGTTGATGGAACTGTGAACTTATCCAACTATTTTAGAGAGCAATTTGGAATTATGCCCAAAGAGTTACAAAACTGTGTATATCCTTTGACTCAGCAAGACCACTATTAGATCTGTTTCCCAAGATGATAAGGGGAAAAGGAAAAGAATCTATATACGTTCTAAAATCGCTATAGCAGCTCTCTTTGTGGTAGAACTGGAAATTGAAGGGATGCCCATCAATTGGGGAATGGCTGAATAAGTTGTGGTATGTGATAGAATACTATTACGCTGTAAGAAATGATGAGTAGGTTGATTTTAGAAAAACATGGAAAGACTTGCATAAAATAATGAAGAGTGAAATAAACAGAACCAAGAGAATATTGTATACCATAATAGCAATATTGTTTGAAGAGTGACTGTGAATGACTAAGCTATTCTGAGCAAGATGAATATTCAAATCAACTACAAAAGAATTATAAAGGAAGATGATATCCACCTCCAGAGAAAGAAAGTATTGTATGGTTTCACATATATATCTGTGTCAAATGTTGGCCTTCTCTTGTGGGGGGGTTGGGAGGGAGGAAGGCAGAGGTAGCTTGGAGCTCAAAATATAACAAAAACTAAGTTATTTTTAAAATAGATGTATTTTTTACTAGCGTGGTCTTATCCAGGGCTTCTTAAACTTTTTCTACTCATGACCCCATCACCGACCCCACACGGAGTTGCCACCCCACAGTTTAAGAAAAGAAGGCAGTTCCTCTGACAACAGTCCATCTTCCTGGGGGTCAACAAGAAGCAATCCCAGTCACTGGAGAATGGTCAGAGGGGTTACCCGTCTCCTCTCAGCAAGAGGTTAGGGCACAAATGGATCACAGATCTACAGATGGAAGGCCATCTAGCCCCATTCCCTCATTTTACAGGTAAGGAAGGGAGGCCCGGGTAGATTTAGTGACTCACCCAACGTCTCATAGGGAGGAGGCACCTCCACGGAAGGTTACAACATAGGTCCACAACACATAATCTCATCAGGTTGGTTGGGGAAATTCATCAAATTGATCAGCTCTTCACCTCCCATTACAACTGGATCTCTACGGTTCCTTTCAGCTCTGAACCGATGGTCTTCTATAGTCAATCACTAGTCAGGCGGACATTTTCTTGGTCTCTACCCAGATTGTTGCATTAAGGAGATAAGAACTGCTAAAATCAGGAATTGAAATTACAAGAACATTGTCATTAATGATCGTGTCAATCACAGCAGTTAAAAACCCAAGGAACTGGGCTGCTTTTTGGACATCAGGCCAGAGAGGAAAAGGCCCATCAGGTGGGCAGGTAGCAATACATGTGAAAGAAGTCACATAGAGAGGGTGGGTTCACACTGTGGTTTAGGGCACTCCATCTCTCCTTCTTCCTCACTGTATGGGAGTCATAATCCTCCTTTGAAAACATAAACAAGGCTCAGATTCTTATAATCTAGCCAATAGCCTACTAATATTCAAACTCCTTAAGAGTCTGCCCAATAAGATGGATGTTCTAATAAACCTTGTCTTTGGCTGAAAAAAAAAGAAAAAACAAAAGAAAAGAAACGAGGAAAAAAAAAAGAAAACATAAACAGACAGCAGAGACCTCCTAATGCCAGGCCGGGGAAGCAAGGCAGAGATGGTATGATTCCGGTGCTGAGCAAAGATCATAGGGTGAGAACCAGAAAGCAACTATCCCTGGGAGAAAATAGCTGCTCACCCTAATGCCTCAGATCCTCTGATGAAGTATTTTAGGAGCCACTTGGGTTACAGTAAAGTCATCTATTCCATCAAAGGCTTCTGGGAGAATTTAGGGAAATTGAAGTTGTGAACTTATTTATTACAGTGGTGGTTGCTTGTTCTGGGAATGGAAATAGCTGACCCTTTACCTGAGTGGCAGGTGGCAGTTAAAAGTTTAAGTACTATGTCTTTTAAAATTAGGTTTTCTTGGCATAAAGGTATTTTGGACTATAATTGGAATGTCTTTTTCTTTTGGTTCAAAGTGGGGAAAGATACAAGGGTATTAATGGGAAATGAAGCATGAGCTATATTTGGACATGATCTGATTTGTGATAAATTTTGAAGCATATTCTGTTAATAAAAATTTTACATTTCAAACCCTAGATCAAGCTGGGGAGGTAGATGCTTCCACATCATTTCTCATCTGCTGCTGCTTCTGCATTTAGGAAAATTTCCTGAACTATCTGCAGTTACAGTATTAGTCCCTTTTACTTTGAAGATATCTAACCAACCCCTCTTCATGTGATTACTAGTTTAGCCCTCCTCATTAAGCTTAAAATTCTGTAGAGGGAGGGGTGTAGCAGAGTCCAGTTCTGACCTCTTTCTGACCAGGAGGATATAGGAGCCAGGAGAGACAGCTCCACAAGGCAACAGCCACACATCTATGGTCACTTGTGGATATACAATGTACTGAAAATGTACAGTTGAGAGTAGGGAGGAAGTTAGGTGAAGATGAAAATTTAGGGGAAAAAAAAGGAAGAAAAATATGAGGATAGAACGTGGGTGACAATGTCCCCCAGCTGAAAATTTTCTTTCTATCCTCAAATTTTTCTTCCTTTTTAGGGGGCAGGGGATCCTATCAAATTCTACCTTGGGGGGCAGCTAGGTGGCACAGTGGATACAGCAGCCCTGGAGTCAGGAGGACCTGAGTTCAAACCCGACCTCAGACACATAATACTTCCTAGCTGTGTGACTCTGGGCAAGTCACTTAACCCCAGTTGCCTCACTTAAAAAAAAATCTACCTTTTATCATTCCTTATTTGTGCACATGTCATATCCTCCTTCCCCTATAAGTTACTTGAGGGCAGGAACTAAATTCATCAGGGTTTCTCTGATGACTCTTGCTACATTTATATCTTTAGGATGCATAATAGGAGGCAACTAAGTGGTACAGTAGTTAGAGCTCTGGCCCTGGAATCAGCCTCAGAAGCTTACTAGCTGAGCAAGCCTGAGCAAGTCACTTGTAAAGTAGGGATAATAATAACAAATAGGGCAGCTTGGTGGTGCAATGGATGGAGTGCCAGGCCTGGATTCAGGAAGACTCATCTTCCTGAGTTCAAATCTGGTCTCAAACACTTACCAGCTGTGTGACCCTGGGCAAGTCACTTAACCCTGTTCGCCTCAGTTTCCTAATCTGTAAAATGAACTGGAGAAGAAAATGGCAAACCACTTCAATACCTTTGACAAGAAAACCCCAAATGGGGTCATGTAGAGTCTGACAAGACTGAACAGCAACAAAAATAGAAAGTGCTATAAAGCACCTACAGTTGAAGGTTGTGGTGAAGTAAAATGGGATATTTGTAAAGTGCTTTGCAAACCAACCTTAAAGTGCTACATAAATGTTAGCTACTATTATCATTAATAAATGATTTAACTTGGTTTCACAGGTGTCCTGCTGCTGAATGATCTGCTATCTTACATCAGAAAGAACACTGAATTTGAGATCAGAAGATATGGATTAAAATTCTAATTCTGCCTGTCACTTATTGCTGAGACCTTGGGTAAGTCACTTTGCCCCTTTGAGCCTCAGTTTCCCCATCAATCCATCACTATTAATCACCTACTTATGTGCCAAGCCTATGGTACACACTGGGAATATCCAAAGATATAACTGAAACAATTCCTGTCTTCAGGCAGTTTACGTTCTTATGGGGGAGACACGTAAACACAGAATATATCTGAATATATATAAATATATAAATACTAGGCAATGGGTGGGGGCACTGACACTTGGGGAGATTAGAAGAGATTTCCTGTAAGAGGTGGCATTTGAGCTGAACTTTAGAGAAAGCTAGAGATTTCCAAAGGTGGAGGTGAGATGGGAAGTACGTTTCAGGCATCAGAGAAATCCCATGCAAAGGGGTGTGTGTGTGTGTGTGTGTGTCTGTCTGTCTGTCTGTGTGTGTGGTGTGTGTAGTGAGTGTGTGTGTGGTGTGTGGTGTGTGTCGTGAGTGTGTGTGTGCAGTGAGTGTGTGTGGTGTGTGTAGTGAGTGTGTGTGGTGTGTGTAGGGTGTGTGTGTGGTGTGTGTAGTGTGTGTGTGTAGTGTGTGTGTGTGTAAGGGGCTCCTCAATAGATGCCCACGCCCGCCAGGTACAGAGACACTCACCAGGGCACACTGGCACACTCAGACACAAGGTGGGGCCGCGGCCTGGGGGCTGGCCAATGGGAGGGGGCCCCGAGCCGCCACGGGGGCGGGACGCAGCGTTCTAGCCAGCCCGAGGCGAACCCCGCGGGGCGGGACCAGGCGGGCGGAGCTCCGCGGCCGCTCCCAGGCTCCCGCTTCGGCCCCGTTGCAGCTGCGGCCAGAGCGCAGCAAAAGGAGCCCAGAGGGGATCCGGGAGAGGGAGGGGCGGGGCACTGCCCGTGGCCGTGACCGTGAGCGAGCAGAGCCCGCCGAGCCTCCGGCCTGGCCCGCGCCGGCCCCAGCCCCGGTCCCGGCCCCCGGCCCCGCACCGCTCCCCGGGCGGCCGCCGCCATGGCGGCCCCGGAGCCGGCGCGGCGGGGCCGGGAGCGGGAGGACGAGAGCGAGGACGAGAGTGAGATCCTAGAAGAGAGTCCGTGCGGCCGCTGGCAGAAGCGCCGGGAGCAGGTGGGTCCCGGGCCCCCCGGGGCCGGGAGCGGCCGCGCGGCCAGGGACCGAGCAGGAGCTGGCCCAGGCTGGGCGAGAGCGCTAGGACCGAGGGGACTCGGGGTCTTGGGAAGGGGGCTGCCTGAAGCGGGGGGGGCGGGGGGGGTTCGTGGGGTCGCTAGGACCCGGGGGGGTTCGTGGGCCCTGAGCTGTGAACGAGGAGCTCCGGGAAAGGGAGACGCTAGGACCCAGGGGGCACGTGAGCCTCGGGCTGAGGAGGGGGAGCGGTGGCTAGGGGGAGATTCTAAGACCCGAGGGGTTCGTGGGCGGGGAACATAGAGCCCTTGGTGAAAAGCAAACTGTGGGACGCCAGGGGCTGGGTGGGAGGGGCCCAGGGCTTTCACGAGGCTGTGGGTTTGTGGATAGGGGTCAATAGGAATCAGGGATAGTTGGGGCACTGAGGGCGGGTTCGAGTAGTGGGAGAGAAGGTAGCTTCTATTTGCTGTGCCTTTGGGGCGGGGGTTCAAAGTGTTATCTGATGGGAGGGGACCAGCAGCTGAATCCTGCCACTGTGGGGATGCAGGGTGGGGCCCTGAGGGGCTTGGGTGGATGGGGAGCGAGTCTTCTGCCTGCTTTGGCTTAGTGCCCAGGACTTGATCCCTCAGTTCCATACCAGCTCCTACTTTGCCCCACCTCCCTTCCGAGCTCGGTACGGCCCCTACTTTTTGGCTCACTCCGTTTAAAGCAGGGGGAGAGGGGACAGACAGGCAGACAGACACACTCTCCTAATAGAGTAGGGGGAGAGAGTGGACAAACACATTTTTTCAGCGTGTACAAGGAGGAATTGCGCAGTACCATAGTGGGTTAGGGTGATGAATCTCAGTAAGGCCCCTACTTTTTGCCTTACTCCCTTTAGAGCAAAGGGAGAGATGGGACAGATATCTCCTAGTGAAGGGAGGAAAGAGGGGGCAGACAGAAGTCTCCATTTCCTACCCGCATTCAGTGTATACAAAGAGGAAGGATTACAGTATCATTGGGGGGGAGGTCTGGATCTGTCACAGGCTGGGGGATTGGGAGGCATATAAAGAGCAGACATTCCTAGTTTGATTAATCCTTCTCTCCTGCTGTTTTCCAAGTCCCTGAGTTCTAGGGAAGCTCGTCGTTTTGGGGGTGGGGTGAAGGGAAGATGGAAGCAGGATGAGAGCTACCCAACTTGGGGCCCCAGAGGAAGCCACCTTTAGGAGGGCATTCTAGGGGAAAGGCAGGGTTTTATATCTCAACAATATCCTAGGGGACCAAATGGGCCCCTGTCACTTAGTTACTTCAGCTTTTCCTTTTGGATCAGCCAACTGCTCTGTTCCCTCCTCTCCCCTCCCCTTCCCTTCTGAGTCCAGGCTAGAGATGAGAGGAGCCTTTGTGTGACCCAAGGGGGCCAGGGAAGGGAAGGGGAGGTGGGGCTGGCATGGGCCTGTGTCTTTGCCCGGCTTGTCCCAATCCCCACCCCTTGGCCCTGATCCCTGACTTGACTGGCCCCCTTCATAACCACACCTCACCATGCCCAGCTTGTGCCCCTAACTTGCCAAGCCCCTGCCTTGTACACTCCTGGCTTCTGGTACCATGAATGATCCCACTCCCTTCCCAGGTCAATCAGGGCAACATGCCAGGGATCCAGAGCACTTTCCTAGCCATGGACACAGAGGAAGGTGTGGAGGTTGTGTGGAATGAGCTGCACTTCACGGACAGGAAGGCCTTCAAGGCCCATGAGGTGACCTTTCCCTCCCTCCCAACATGCACTGATTGGTATCTCTCGCTCCCGGTCTGTGCTTCATCTCCCCCTCCACCCTCTGGTCCCCCAGGAGAAGATCCAGACCATGTTTGAACAACTGGTGCTCGTGGACCATCCCAACATTGTCAAGCTGCACAAATACTGGCTGGACACCCCAGAATCCAAGGCCCGGGTGAGCCTAGTGTCCTGCCCAGTGTAGAGCCTGCCTCTTGACCTGTTCCAAGCTGGACCCTGTCCTTCCCTCTCCTTCAGTCCTTGAGCCACTGGGTGGGGAGGGGCAAGGCTAGGGACTCAGCCTAGACTGCCACCTAACCTTCTCCTGCTGCCTCTGCTTACTGAATAGGCCAGTCTTCATTAAATTGCTCCTGTATGGCAGTCCTCATTGTCAAGGAGCTCCCCAAGACCCCTGGGAATATGAGGAGAGTACCTAGAGCTGAACCCTGGTCTTACCCATCTAGGTGATCTTCATCACTGAGTACGTCTCCTCAGGCAGCCTCAAGCAGTTTTTGAAGAAGACAAAAAAAAACCATAAGGCCATGAACGCCCGGGTATGGGGGCTCTGGGGGAGGGGGCTGTTGGTGTTGGTACTGAGGAGCTGGGCTCAGAGGATTTTAACTCCATCTCTGAAGGCTCTCTGGTGCTTGGTGCCTGGTAGGGAATAAACTTGCTCTTTCCCGGAAGCAGCCAGGACTTAAGCCCTCTCCTTCCCTCTGCCCCTAGGCCTGGAAACGCTGGTGTACGCAGATTTTGTCTGCTCTCAGGTGAGGTGACCCTGGCCCCCAGCCTGCTTACTTTGTGTTTTCCTCATACTACTTCATATCCCCAGCTCACCCCTCCACTTGACTTTTAGTCCCCCATCTACTCCCTGCAATCTCTCATTTCCCCCAGTATCTAATTCTCTCTCTGACAGATACAAGCCATGTAACCATGGGCTAGTCACTTGAACCCCCAGTGCTCCAGAAAACCCTCTGAAATAACATATTACAGATAAGTTGCTGATCTGCATTGATAGAGAGAGTTTCTTCACTGGGAGTTCTTCACACTAATAAAATCATAGATTTGGAACCCCCCTCATGGAAAATACACACACACACACACACACACACACACACACACACACACACTCACACTCACACACTTGAGCTCTCTGTCCCCCTCCCTCCCTCCCTCTCCCTCTCTCTAATACCATATCTCCTAGTCTCTAGCTCTTTCTGACCCTGAGCCTGGGCCTGTGTCTCCCCAGCTTTCTTCACTCTTGCAACCCTCCCATCATTCATGGCAACTTGACCAGTGACACCATCTTCATCCAGCACAATGGCCTAATCAAGATTGGTTCTGGTGAGGCTGGCCTGGGGGACCATGGAAGGGAGGCGAGCCAGAGAGGAGGGAGAGCCTTCCTTTTGGCTGGCCCTGCTCCTCCCCACCACCCATTCATATTTTTCTCTTTCTTTCTCCCTCAGTCTGGCATAGGGTGTTCTCCAATGGTGAGTTTGACAGGGGGGGGTTTGGGGGGGGGGAGGTAGATGGGGATAGATCAAATGCCTTTTTGGGGAAAGTCCTTTGGGGCCACCTCATCCTTTCAATCTACTCCCTCCAGCAATTCCAGATGATCTCCGTAGCCCCATTCGCATTGAGCGAGAGGAACAGCGAAACTTGCATTTTTTCCCCCCAGAGTATGGCCGTGAGTGACCACTGGGACCCCTAGGGCTGTCTTCTTCCGGGCCTCCTTTTTCCTTACAGTTCTCCATACCCATTCCCTTGTTCTCTTACCCCTAACCCTTAGTACCTGCACCATCTTCCTTAATCCCTGACCCTGTGATACCTTCTCCTTGAACTTTGATCCTGTGGTGTACACCCTTCCTCCCCTACCCTTGCTTCCTCGATTTCAGAGGTTGCTGACGGGACAGCTGTGGACATCTTTTCATTCGGGATGTGTGCACTGGAGGTATTGGCCCCCCTCCCCCTGATCTCCCCAGCATGGCCTTCTTGCTCATATCCTACCCTGCCCATACCCTTTCCTCCCAGCATGCCCTTTCCAACCCCTCCCTAGGATCCTCCACCCTCTTTCCTCACCCTGAGCAGAGTCCCTGGTCATTCCTTCCTTTTCTTAAAACTCCCATACCTGCCCTCTTGTCCTGCTTCCTGCCCCTTCTTCCCCCATTTCTCTTTCTTACACGGCTCTCACTCAAGCTCTGCCTCTGGTTTCTGTCCCTTCTCAGATGGCTGTGCTAGAGATCCAGTCCAATGGGGATACCCGGGTGACTGAAGAGGCCATCGCCCGTGCCCGACACTCACTGAGTGACCCTAATATGCGGGTAAGAGCCTATGTCTCCTCCCAGTTCCTCCTTAGCATTCTTCCTGTGTTCCACTAGTCATATATCATCTCTAGGTTTTATTTGGTGTCACATGGCTTAACTTTTCTCTTTCCCCAGTGGAGGTTCTTTCTGATTGCCAGCATTGGAGAATGGCCCCAAGAGGCTCATAGTAGTCAGGAATCATAGATTTAGGTCTGGAAGGAACCTTAAAGGGCATCTGGTCCAACCTTCCCATTTTTCAGATAAAGAAATTGTGTCCCAGAGATGTCAGGTGACTTGCTTAAGGTCACATGTGTGCAATCAGTATTTGAATCCAGGCTCTCAGATTCCATTGTAACGTACTCTTCTGTCTGACCCAGCAACCCTTTGATTCCTCTTCTTTTTCCTGCCCAGTTACCAGGTCACATATATGGTCTCTCTGGAATTTTCATATTTTTTATTTTTTGCTGAAACATTGATACATCCACTTATGTTCTTGCTTTTGGTGACACTTTCCTGTATCTGATCATTTCAGTAGTCACGGGCAGCCTTGTCCACTACCTAGCCTTATTTGGGGGGTGGAAGAGGTAATTGAGATTAAGTGACTTGCCCTGGATCACATAGCTAGTAAGTATCTGAAGCCAGATTTTAACTCAGGTCCTCCTGACTCCATATGAGGCTCTATCCACTGCACCACCTAGTTGCCCCTTGCCTAGCCTTATTTAAGAATATCATGGCCTATTCTTTACATCATGACTAATGGGAAAATATGCTTAGTAAGTAGAGCCTATATCAGATTGCATGCTGTCTTGGGATGGGAGGAGGAGAAAATTTAAAACTTATGGAAGTGGATGTTAAAAACTAAAATTAAATAAATTTTAAAAAAAGGAATGTCATGGCCCAAGTATTTCCCACAGTGGTCATTCCCTCCCAAACTTCACCTGATTCCATAGTTCTTTCTTGCAGTCCATGACAGGACAAGCTAACTCCTGCCAACCTGGAGAGGTACCCTCTTTTACCTGGACCCCAGGCTTTCCCTGTGGGCCTCAGTTTTTGTACTCAGTGTGAAGTTGGTTCCTTTGTCCCCTTTTTGGAGTCCCTTTCCCAAACCTAGATTCTGGAAAACAAGTATTTCCCACCTGGGCTCGAAGATAATTCTTTCCTCTATCTTCAGGCCACCAATATGCATCTTGCAGATGCTTCCTTTCCTAGAGTTTTTTCTCTCTTGGTTTGAGCTTAAGCCTTGCTCTCTCCCTACTTCCGGCTTCTTTGGTCCTGGCTTGCCCCTCTAAAAGTCCTTTTCTACCTCTTAAAGTTGGCTGTGATTCATCAGGGTGGTCAGTCTTCACCTCTTGTTCTGGGGAGCCACCCTGATGCAATCTGCCCAGAATCCACGAGCAAGATCATGCCTTCCATTGTGGCCCATTTTCTTTTCACTTTGATAGCTCTTAAGTAGGGAAAGGAATGATCCCTTCCCCTTTACCAAGTAGTCTCCCTCACAATAACCTTATCTGGGCTGTAATGCAAATGTCCCTGTTTTTCCATGTGGTGCAAAGGTTAAGTACCTTGCCATGGTCCCACAGCTATTAAGTATCGGAGCTAGGATGTGAACCCAGGTTTTCTGACTCTGCAGTCCAGTGCCTTTTTCCTCTAAGTTACCTTGATTGAGATTTATAGCTCTACCTATTTCCCTAGGTGTGAACTGATGACCTCATTGTCCCAAGTGACTTTTATACTGCTGCCTTGCTGCAGAGCTATCATTCCTTGAGCAGTGACTTACCAAACTCCTGTTATGTTACAAGGCTGGGGTGCTGAACACAAAAAATACCAGGATAAATAACGATACTTTCCCTAGCCTTTAGGAGCTTGAGACCCTGAAATCTTTATCAGATGAACTATATTGTCTGACCATACCTTCCCCCGCCTTATACTTATCAAGTTGATTTTTTTTTTAAACCTGGCTGTAGAACTTTAGACTTATATCCATTAAATTTCATCTTTTTAGATTTGACTCCTTTTTCTTTTAAGAGCTTTTTGGATCCTAAGTATGTGATCCTGTGTTGGCTGGCCCTACCGGTCTTCCATCATCTGCAAATCTAAGTTATTGATCAAATTGTTAACCAGCTGAGGGTCAAGGAGAAGTCCCTGGGGCACTCCTTCAAGTTGACATTCAAACAATCAATAAGCATTTCTTAAGTGCCAGGAACTGTGCTCCAAGGTGGCAATAAGTAGACAAAAAAAATGAAATTGTCAGGGCAGCTAGGTGGCTCAGTGGATAGAGCACTGGCCCTGGAGTCAGGAGGACCTGAGTTCAAATCTGGCCTCAGACACATGATACTCACTAGCTGTTGACCCTGGGCAAGTCACTTAACCCCAATTGTGTCGAAGAAAAAAAAAAAAGAAAGAAATTGTCTCTGTCCTCAAAGAGCTTACCTTCCATTGGGTGAGACAACATGTGCATATATAAGCATTTCCAGTATAGTCATACAAATTAATTTAGGATGTTGGGCACTAGCAGATGAGGAAGCATTAGGCATGAAGCACAGCCAATTCAAAGGTCCAGAGACAGAAAAGAATGTCACCTTGGAGGAACAGCAAGGATGACAGTTTGGTTGGACTATAAAGTGTGAAGAGTAATATGTAAGAAGCCTGGAAAGGGAAATTGGCACCAGGTTGTGAAGGGTTCTTCACAATGTTAAATGGAGAAGCTTAAGCTTAAGAGTCTAGAGGTAATAGAGAGTCACTGAATTTATTGAGCAAGAGAATGACACGGTCCAACCAGTGCTTTTAGAATATCAATATGACCACTGTGTAGAGGATGTGCTGGAAAGGGGAAACACTTAAAGCAGGGAGACCAATTGGGAGGCTGTTGCAGTAGTCTAAGTGAGAATCGATGAGGGCCTGATTTAGTTGGTATAGCCATGTGAGAAGAGAGAAGGGGATAGATGTAGGTGATGTTGGGGAGGTAGACTTGACAAGACTTAGCACTTTATTGGCTCTGTGTGTGTGTGTGTGTGTGTGTGTGTGTGTGTGTGTGTGTGTGTGTTGGGGGGGGAACGGGAGACATTGGCTCATTAGTGACTAATCTTTAGCGATGGTCACTCAAGGAGTTCTGAATCCACCTAATCTTGCTGTCTTCTGTCTCCATTTGTTTGTCTTGTCCAAAAGGAAACCCTGAGATATTTTGTTAAGGATGGTGTTTTGTAAAGTGACCTAGGAATAGCAAGGCCCCAGGGTTTGCCCCTCCCCCTCATGGTTCTGTAACTGTTTCAGTGCTTTTTTTCTCTTTGGCATTATCTTTTTGATTCATGGCATGCTGTGTAGGGGCTGCCAAAATGTGCAGGCCTCTCTCCAGTTCTGGCATCTCTGGCAAAGTTTAGTATCTCTTTTCCTCACCCTCCCATGTGTCCTTTTCTTTTGTTCTTAGATATAAATTCTGATTTTTTTTTTGTTACATTTTGCATCGTGTCCCTTTCCCACTCATTCCCAGAGAACTATGTCTCATGATAGAGTGAAAAAAAAAGAGGAAAGAAAAAGAAAGTTCCACAGTGTTAACCAATGTACCAGAGAAGTCTGACATTCAATGAAGATTTTCTTTCAAATGCCCAGTTTCTTTGCAGCTGCCTGACTAGGCCTGGATTTTAAGGAAGGTCCTATCTTCAGTTCTTCCAGCCTTTTATTCATGAACATGCACCCAGGAGGGAAAGGCAGGTGCTCATAGATGCCAGCATTGGGTCTTTGGGGAAAACCAATTTCTCCTCTTATCTTAGAAGAGTCCAGACTGTCTATTTCTCTCTTTGCCTTCCCAATTCATTCAGATCTTGCTAGTGTCTCACCATTCAGCTTTCGAGCTTTTACTCCTCTGCTCATGTGCCCTGTGCCCCCCCAGGAGTTCATCCTGTCGTGCCTTGTCTTGGACCCAGCCTGCCGACCTTCTGCTCACAACCTTCTCTTCCACCGAGTGCTCTTTGAAGTTCACTCACTGAAGCTCTTGGCAGCTCATTGTTTCATCCAGCACCAATGTGAGTGACCCACAGCATGGGGAAATGCTCAGTACTCTTGGGAATGACCCAGGGGTGGAAGGCATCCATCATGGGTGGGTGAGGTAGGGTGGGAGGGGGTAAATATGTGAGTATCTGGAGTGGGTGGATATGGGGGGAAAGTATAGTCCCAACACCTGTGAGAGTGACTGGGGCCTAGGGGTGGATTTTACCTAGCACCTAAGTGAAAGAGTGACTGAAGGTAGGGAAGGTATTTGGTTGGCACATGTGAGTTGACAGGGAGTACTGATGGCCTATGTGAGTGACCATAAAAGGCCTCTTCAGATCTGATGCCAGAAAATGTGGTAGAGGAAAAGACTAAGGTGATTGACCTCAATTTGGTAATGGCTGAGATTCATCGGACTGGCCGGCCAAGGGTTCAGTGGCGGTGAGTGTTTTTCCCCTCCCTCTCCATCTCTGCTTTCTTCTGGGCCTCAGGTCCTGACTACCCTGAAGGGGGAGGGGGGAAGTTGAGGTCTATTCTTGTCTCTGAGGACCCGTTCATCTTTCCATGAGTGTGTGTCCTTCCCCTTCCTGTCTCCCCCTCCCCCCAGGTACTCTGAGGTCTCATTCTTAGAGCTGGACAAGTTCCTGGAAGACGTCAGGTAAGTAGGTAGCTAGCTGGTCCTTTTGATAAGGGGGAGGGGAGGGCAGGACAGGAGATAGGAGGGGTAGAGAGGTTAGTGAATTCATTGTCATTGTTGGGCCTTTCCCTGGTTCTCCAGGAACGGAATCTACCCACTCATGAACTTTGCTGCCTCCCGGCCCCTGGGGCTTCCCCGGGTACTAGCTCCTCCCCCTGAGGATGCCCGAAAAGCCAAGACCCCCACCCCAGAGCCTTTTGATGTGGAGACCAGGAAGGTGAGTTTGGGAGGATCCTAAAACCTCAGAGCTGGAGGGGACCTCAGAGGCATCTAATCCAACCCCTCCCCTGTAGGAGAATCCCCTTGACCTGCTCCCATTACTGGAATATTTGTTCAGTTGTTTTTCAGTTGTGTCTGACTCTTTGTGACCCCATTTGGGGTTTTCTTGACAAAGATAGTGGAGTAGTTTGCCATTTTCTTCTCCAGTTTATTTTAGATGAGGAAGTTGAGGCAATTAGGGTTAAGTGATTTGCCCAGGGTCACACAGCTAGTAAGTGCCTGAGAGCAGATTTGAACTCAGGAAGATGATTCTTCTTGACGGCAGGCCTGGTGCTCTATGCGCTATGGCGCCACCTGGCTGCCCAAGAGTACTAGAAGTTGGAATCAGAAGTTTGCAAAGTGCTTACAACTACCTGTAGCTGACGAACAGTCATCCAGCCGTTCTTTGAAGACCTCCTAGTGAAGGGGAATCCACTGGGAGGGGACTGGGAGAGGGAAACAGGGAGGATTTATAAAGGGGAGAGGGCAGGGAGGACAGTGACTCCTCTACTTCCTTCCTCCCCCAGGTTGTGCAAATGCAGTGCAACATGGAGATGAATGAGGACAGAGCTCAGTGGCACGTAAGTGGAATCCAGGGGAGCACCCCCACCCCAATACAGTCACACATTCTCCCCCCCACCCCTCAGACTTCCCAGCACTCACATGACTGCGGTTCCGCCTCTCTGATCCCACCAACATGTGTCCTGGGCTGACTCTTTGTCCATTTCTTCAGCTCACTCTGCTCCTGGTCCTGGAAGACAAGTTACACCGACAGCTGAGCTATGATCTCCTGCCAAGTAGGCACTTTGCCCCTACCCTTCTCCTGCCCTGCTGTCCTCCTTTCCTCGCCCCTGCTCCTCCTCTCAGCCATGTCCCTCCCCTTCTTACCCTTGTCCCTCTCTTCCCCTCCCAGCCCAGGCATGGCTGTGGGCACTCTGGCTCTGCTCCTGCCCAATCCCAGCTTAGCTGTGGGTTCCCTGCTCAGTGTTGGCACTGTCTCTCTCCCTACCCCTCTTTCTGTTTGGTGTGCCCTGGGAGGTGGTTCTGGGTGGGATTTGGCAGGGTAGGAAGGGGCCTTACTCTGTCTTCTGCTCCCTTCAGCTGACAGTTCCAAGGATCTGGCCACAGAACTGGTTCATTATGGCTTCATTCATGAGGTGAGGGGGGTGGGGGTTGGGAAGGGACCATGGGAAAGGGGTTTAGGGGGAGGAGATGAAGAACCTTCTCCTTCCCCTGTCTTCTTCCCCATGGCTGTCCCTCATCCCATTTCCCCCAGGATGATTGTGAAAAACTGGCAGCCTTTCTGGAGAGTACCTTCCACAAATATCGTTCAGCCCCACCCTGACCTGGGCCCTGTGGTCAACCTGCTGGGCCCTTCTTCCTGTAGCCTGGGAAGCATTCCCCAAATGTTACCCAGGAGTGAGAGGGCACAGGAAGTTCACATCCTGCCCTAGCCCAGAGCCACAATTTGCTGCTCCCCGACTCTGAAAGGGACTTGGGAATGGGGATGGGGGATATAGGGCTATGCTGCTGGAATTGGCTAAGAGAGTGATGAGGTAAGGCAGAGGTGTGTGAGAGTGTCCCTAGAGGAGATGGGGAGGGGGTGTACCTGATGCTTCCTCCTTGGTGAAGGACTTGGCAGAGGTTATTCTTCCTCTGTCCCCCACCCCCCCCCAAAGAATTTCAGCCAGTGAATTTCCTGTTCCCTTCCCCCAACCCCCAAGGCACACATCTATTTGGGACCAACACCTCCCCCTCCCTCAAGAACCTGTTCCCTCTCCAGGCTTCTGCGAGGCAGACTTGGGATGCCTTTGGCCCCGTCATTTTATCCACCTCTGTGGGCTCAGGGCCTATCCTGGGGGATTAGGGGGCTTGTCCTTCTTCCTAAAAAACCAATGGTGTCCTTTTCCTCCCCCTTTTCTCTCATTTACAAGGGGGTGTCCCATGTATTGTTCATGGGACGATGAATAAACAATGTACCTGCACGGATCCTAAGGCCTGCCATTCTTCTGGGGGACTGGGTGGAGGGTCAGCAGAGGGAGGGAAAAGGGCTGTTGGGGACAGGGGAGCTGGAGACAAGGGTCGGTTCCAAGCAGGTGACGGAGCACAGAGTAAGGAGATTGGATGTGGGATTCAGCAGACCTGGGTGCTGGGCTCAGCTTTGTCACACACCTGTCTCCTCAAGCAAGTCACCTAGCTTCTGGGCCTCAGTTTTCTCATGAAACAATGGCAAATGCTCATTCTTGCCTCCTGTGCGTCATAGGCTGCTTGTAAGTTACTTAAAATCTGGTATATACTGAAAAAAGAGAAGCAGTATAGTACAGTGGGTAGAGCCAGGAAGACCTGCATTTGGGACCTGCTTCTGACCCATACCTCTAGTGTGACACCAGCCAGTCACTTAAGCCTGCAGGGTTCTGGGCAGCTCTCAGTCTGAAACACACAATCTTTTCTGATTATGTGGAGGCAGTTCTATAGCACTAGCACCTCTATAAGTACAGTCTGACCAGAGATAGAAATTGTACATGTGTTGAGGACCCCCTGTGTGCCTAGCACATGCTAAGCTTCACCAGGGAAGATAAAAATAGATTAAGATAACTCCTTGTTGTCAGGGAGTTAACAGGATCCTAAAGCTGGAAAGGTCCACAAATCTGCCAGTTCAACCTGTCTCTGATCATGAAGCCTCATCTGCAGCATCCCTGATGAGTAGGTCTGGCTTGAAGACTTGAAGTGACAGGAGGTTTACTACCACCCAAAGCAGCCTGTTCTACTTTTAGACCAATCTGATTGTTGGGAAGGTTTCCATTATATTAAGCCAGAACCTGACTCCTTGTAACGTATTCCCATTGCTTAGTTCTGCCCTCTAGGGCCGAACAGAACAAGAATGATCCTTCTTCCCTGGACAGATTTTAACCACTTGGAGAGAGCTGCAGAGGAGCCCATCCCTTCTGAATTTGCTCCTTTGGCAATGCCCTTCCTAAAGCATGACCCCAAGAACTGGTCACAATACCTCGGATATGTTCTTACAAGGACTGAATTCCAGTGAGGAATCACCTTCCTCATTCTGATCCTAAATGTAGCTGGTGGCAGTGGGTAGCCTGGAGGCAGGAAGACCTGTGTTCAAATCCAACCTCAGACACTAGCTGCATAATCTTGGGTGAGTCACTTAATCTCTGCCTGCTTCATTTTCCTCAACTATAAAATGGCGACTACTTACCTCCCAGGGTTGTTCTGAGGATCAAATAAGGTGTTTGTAAAGTGCTTAGCACAGTGCATGACCAGCCAACACTACAGAAATGCTAGCTATTACTAGCTAAATACTACCCAAGGTCATTAGTCTTAGGCAGCCACGTTGCATTTCTGACAACATATCACATCGAATACAGTACACAAGTGTTTCTTTGAATTCCAACTCTTGACTATCCTGCTTTCCTGACACCACTACTGACATACAGTCCTTGTAACATGCACCTTTCCCAGATCCTGCCTTCCCTGGGGCTTCACAGACATCCTCCTGGGAGAAGGATCTTTCTGGGCAATACTAGTAAATAGCATCCTCATATATTAATACTTTATGATCTACAGAATGCTGCACCATACGATTTCCCCACATTTCAAGGGACTCTTGGCAAGCATCTTTGTAGTGAGATTGTCAGAGATGAGTTCTTGGAGGAAAAGGGAGGTGGGGGCGGCTGTGAGTGTGAACTCAGTCATTAACAAGCCAGTCAACAAACATTAAGCACTTGAAATGTGCCGGGAACTAAGGGTAAATACTGAAGATCCAGAGAAATGCAGAAATCCCTGCATGAAGGAGCTCGAATTTCAATGAGGGAGGCAACATGCAAGCAATTATGATGTGATCTATACAGAGTAAATGGGAGATAAGCTCAGAAAGAAGGCACTAGCACTAAGGGAGATTCTGAAAGTTTCTTGAGAGGAATTTAGCTGAGGCTTGAAGATGTGGAAGGGTATAAGGTATAAAAAGAAAAATAGAAAGGGTTCAGGTTATGCAGGACTTTAATTAATATTAAGATATCTTGGGGGCAGAGCCAAGATGGCAGAGGGAAAGCAGTGACTTGCTAGAGCTCTCCCCCAAACCCCTCCAAATACCTATAAAAAATGGCTCTAAACAAATTCTAAAGCAGCAGAACCCACAAAAAAACAGATTGAAACAAATTTCCAGCCCAAGACAACCTGGATGGTTGATCGGAAAGGTATATCATGTCAGGCTGGGAGAGGAGCGCAGTTCAGTGTGGGCATGCAGGCCACAGCAACCCTGGAGCAGGCCTCAGAGGACTGAGTTGCGGGCAGCTGTGGCAGTTTCCAGACTTTTCAGCCCCCAAACGCCAAAGAAAACTTAGAAGGTCAGTGGGAAAAGTCTGTGACTACGGTGAGAGAAGAATCTAGGTCTCAGCCGCCCCCAGGGCAGTGGCTGGCTTCTGAGCTTCCAGCCCACAGACTGAGGGGGAATCCAGTGGCTGATCAGAGGGGAATTGCAGGGATCTCTTTGCCAGGGCTGAGGCAGGAATCTCTTGCTTTACCGGTGCTTGGATCTGGGTCACAGTTCTGAGGGGCAGTCCTGGGGCTAGGAGGAACGCTGGTGTGGTGGAGCTTGTTGCCGAGGTGGAGAGAAAACACCTCGCCCCTTATCATACCACCTTGGAAGAACTGAAAATTTACAGGTCCCTAGAAGTATCTCTGAAAATAGCTGTACAGACCCCCAAAGTTTAGGACAGTACACTCTTCACATTGGAAGCAGACTTTTACCTTAACAAAGAGTTTAAAACTCAAGTAATTGGCCGGGATCATGAGTAAGCAGCGCAAAAAGAGTCAGACTATATTATCTTACTTTGGTGACAAAGAAGATCAAAACATACAACCAGAAGAAGACAACGAAACCAAAGCTCCTACATCCAAAGCCTCCAAGAAGAATATGAATCAGGCCCAGGCCTTGGAAGAGCTCAAAAGGGATTTTGAGAAGCAAGTAAGAGAAGTAGAGGAAAACCTGGGAAGAGAAATGAGAGTGATGCAAGAAAATCATGAAAAGCAAGTTAACAGCTTACTAAAGGAGACCCAAAAAAGTACTGAAGAAAATAGCACCTTAAAAAATACCCTAACCCAAATGGCAAAAGAGGTTCAAAAAGCCAATGAGGAGAAGAATGCCCTAAAAGCAAAATTGGCCAAATGGAAAAGGAAGTCCAAAAGATTACTGAAGAAAATACTTCCTTAAAAATTAGACTAGAGCAATTGGAAGCTAGTGACTTTATGAGTCACTATGAGTGAAACAAATCCAAAAGAATGAAAAATTAGAAAACAATGTGAAATATCTCATTGGAAAAACAACTGACCTGGAAAATAGATCCAGGAGAGAGAATTTAAAAATTATTGGACTATCTGAAAGCCATGATCAAAAAAACAACCTAGACATCATCTTTCAAGAAATGATCAAGGAAAACTGCCCTGATATTTTAGAACCAGAGGGCAAAATAGAAATTGAAAGAATATACCAATCACCGCCTGAAAGAGATTCCCAAAGGAAAACTCCTAGGAATATTGTAGCCAAATTCCAGAGTTCCCAGGTCAAGGAGAAAATATTACAAGAAGCCAGAAAGAAACAATTCAAGTATTGTGGAAACACAATCAGGATAACACAAGATTTAGCTGCTTCTACATTAAGGGACTGCAGGGCATGGAATATAATATTCCGGAGGGCAAAGGAGATAGGATTACAATCAAGAATCACCTACCCAGCAAAACTGAGTATAATCCTACAGGGGAAAAAATCGTCATTCAGTGAAATAGAGGACTTTCAGACATTCTTGATGAAAAGACCAGAGCTGAATTGAAAATTTGACTTTCCAATATAAGACTCTAGTGAAACAGGAAGAAAGCCTGTACAGGCTTAAGCCTATGGCATTAGAGATCACCCCTGAGGGGTACCCTTATAATCCTAAGGGGGGAGATGGAATCAGCCTAGCTCTGGAACTCACTTGTGAGAATGAGAATTGGGATGAGGATTCTTAGAGCTCGCACGGACTACATACATAAAAGCATCTAACAACTGTTATCACCAGCTAGTTAATGAGCTAATGAAAGAAATCTATTCTAATATATACCCTGTAAAATTTACTTATTGTTCAGTATCAAAGATCCAGTGACACTCTCTTTGCCGTTTCTTTTACAGGACTTGCCATCTCCTGACCCTGTACCATGTCCATTCCCTGTTCCATGCCTGGAATGCTTTCTTTCCTCACCTCTATCTCCTGGCTTCCCTGGATTCTTTCAGGATCAGATCAAACCCCACCTTCTTCAGCTCTCTCCACCCCTCAATCCCTACATATAATTCTATTGCCTTCCTTCTGAGATTTCCTTCCATTTGTACTGTGTAGCTCTTGTATGTGTTTTTTTTGCATAGTGTCTCACCCATTCAAATGTGAGCTCCTTGAGGAAAAGAACAATTTTTTTTTGCATTTCTTTGTTATCTCCTGTGCTTTGCACAGTGCCTGGCAAATAGCAGGCACTTAGAGGATCCTTGCTGACTGAAGGACAGAAGGAGGAAATTGTGGGTTTGCTTTTACACAAAGTATCAGGAAAGGATGAACAGGCAGGAGTGTCCAGCATTTTACATGTCATGAGTCACTTTTACGTCACTGTGAGCAAGAAGTCTGAAGACCCAGAAACAATTGGATTTCAAATAAAGAAGTAGAGGATGGCTCACTAAAAATATATATATATATATATATATATATATATATATATATATATAAAGATATCTTTTTTTTGGTGAGGCAATCGGAGTTAAGTGACTTGCCCAGGGTCACACAGCTAGTGAGTATCAAGTGTCGGAGGCCAGATTTAAACTCAGGTCCTCCTGACTCCAGGCCAGTGCTCTATTCACTGCACCATCTAGCTGCCCCTATGCAGGACTTTAAAAGCCAAAGACAATCTTATAGTTGATCCTAAAGGTAATAGTGACCCACTGGAGTTTATTTT